TGGCCGACAGCGTCGTGGTCGCGACGACCCACGGACGTTTATTTTTCTGCGTGCGCTTCTCACGCGTCCCGACTTCAAGCAGCAAGAAAAAAGTAAAAAGTACTTAAAACGGACCATGACGAACAAGAACGCTGGATCCACAAACACCCGGGAAAAGCTCCAACGTCCACGATTCCACCGAACGCGACCAAGCGAGCTTTGCAGTTAGGCCTAGTAGGCACTCCGCGACTCGGCGACCGTCTGCCCCCAACCGGCTGGCGTGCTGAATGGAATATGCCCGCGCGACCCTTGTGAACCCTTCCCGTATTATACTTTGATCACTGACCTCAATTTTAGATTAAGAGGTAAATTTCTTCCTCTTGTTATCTCCTTGTTTCCCGAGGCAACGCTGACTCTCACCGGTGAAAAAGCGGTGATTCTCCGACAGCAGGAAAGGTAAAGCAGCCATCGCTTTGACTAGCAGACGTAAAGCAGACGACGTTAACTGCGCCAACCCGCCGACGCCGTTAAAGAATGAGGGATCTCGCCGCACAGGAAAGGAGGGAAAAAGTATTTGGGAGGGAACTTGCGGACACTAACACGCTCACTCTCGGTTCTAAGCAAACAAATCTCGGCGCCTCGGGACACCTCGCCAGTGAGTCCTTTTGACTTCTCTCCATGATGCGCGTCTGCTAGTTGTTTGACAAAAACAACGTACCGCTCGAGTTATTTCGTCTGCCCTCTCTGGAAGACGAAGTCAAGCTCCCTCGAAATGACCTGCACTTCCAAAAGTCGCCGGAAAGGTAAGACAGAGGCAGACGACGTTGCGAGCAGACGACGTTGCAAAGGAGCAGACGAAGCTCAGATAGGGGGTCGCGATCAGCCAATCAGGGCTCGGCGTTCTGACGTCACCGCTACTTCCTTTCTCATGCGCAGAAGACGGAAATGGGTCCACTTGCGAGGCGTATAGTTTTGTGGCCACTAATGGATGAGAAAGAAGAAGAGACATAGACTTCCGAAGTTAAGTTCGCACCGGTGACTTACATGGCTAGCTACTTGGCCTTCGTTTGCGAACAAGAGGTGTCCATTTTTATTTGTAGAAATTTTCGTACTTTCAAAGTAATTAGCTGAAACATTAAGCCTAGCTAAGCAATTGAAATGTCTGAGTGAGAGCGAGGAAGGCTAATGTGTAAAACCCTCTCAACTTTGCAGGTGACGTGTCCTGAATGCAAGATGCCACTCAAGGAAAATACATCACGTGACGGAGCATATCAGTTCGTGTTTAGCTTTGACCAAGGAGGACTCAGCTATCCACGACCTGGAGCTGTCTGGCTGTGCAAGCTCGTCTGCACCTTTTTCGAGAGGCCTCTACAGTCGGCAGAGATTCGTCGTTGTGGACGGATTTGCAAGGTCTTCTCGAGCGCTGTGCTTCCACACCTTATGGACTGCCCGCTGATGTGGTGCACGAACTGCAGAGACCCGTACCACAGCGAAGAGCTCTGCGAGCTCGTCCTCAGAAAGATCCTCAGACCTCTTTTGGCAAACTGGGCTGGTTACCTAAACAGCTCTCTGGAGGATATACCGAGGCTTTCGCGGAAGCCCTTTCCCGAAAGGTACTCCGCTTGTGAACTATATGACTCCCTTGATCTATTTGTGAACAATGAAGTTTATATTGCTAAAGTTATGCACAAGGTATCCTTTTTTTATTGACCTTCACAGAGAAATAAAAGGCACAGCTCGATCGTGCTCGAGCGTCGGTTAAAACCGTAAATTATGTGGCCTAGCTACGTCCAACAATAACTCCTCTCTGCTCTGAGCAATCTACGCCGCCACTAAGCAGATTATTATTTTCACTATGGAAACCACAGCAACTTGGAATATTTTAAAATCTTTGTGTCAATTTTATTCACCCAGCGATTTTGCAAAAAACACGTGACCTCAGAGAGTAATTGGAAAAGTAACAGATATTACTGCTAGAAGTAATGGCAATTTCATTTTGGGGCTGCTGACCAGTGAAGCCATATGTTCAAATTACTGTACGATTTGTTGTAAATTTTATTTTAACCGGTTACATTTTATAAGCATTGTGCACAGGAGTGATGAACACATCAAATTGATTCTGCCGAGAGTGATAGGGGTGCGCCCTCACCGTTCGCAACTACAGGAGTCATCAACTCGGCAGGATGAGCAAACAATCGAAAAACGTCACAATCACATTACTTCAACTTGAAAAAAAAAATGCTAGGAAACCGTTCAAACGGAAGAACTGCTTCGCTAAGAATTAAAAAAAAAAAAAAAACAGTTAGGGGATCTCTATACAAAACAAGAAAGAAAAAAACGAAAAGCAAAATTGCTCAGCATTCTGCCTTTATGATTTTAATCACTGTGGGGAGAGTTAATTTATATTAGGAAAGAAGAACCATTATTCGTGAAGCTGCAAGTTAGCCTTGAGGTATAAAAATAAAAATCGCCTCGAACAAAAAAGAAAAAAAAAAATGTTGCAACGCCTTAGTCCTCAAGCGAGAGATGTCCATATAAAGAGATCCATGAACGCGTAGAGACACGAACTTGAAGCTTGCGCCGGTAAGTCGAAACTGTGAAGTTCTGGTACTTTCTCGTAATGGCCGTAATTTCGGTGTGGCCTCGGAATTCAGAAACGTTTATTTGTTTTAAAAACAATATATTTGTTAATGTACGAATATATTTATCGTAGTCTATATTTTGCTCAAATAGGCACTGATTGGTGAAGTTAATTAAATTTCGTGGTGTCTGAGCAAAACAACGAGTCATAGAAGATGTTTTCTGGGATTGTTTGGAAAATGTATAGAGCGCGACATTGTTAGCGTGAACAAGCGATCGCTGGTTTTTCCAGTTTTTCTCTTTGAAACCAAGGGATGTTGTAAGAATCGACGAGAGCTCCGCGGGTGGGCCGTTAGCACCAGGGAGATTTGGCTGGGGGGAAAGCGCTGTTGTAAACACTTCCCTTGGCGGGCGACCTCGAGAGACAGGCGTACTTTACGACGCGAGGTTCGGAACGCGCGTTTTCTGCCGAGAGAATCGGAGCGTGCGTTCCGGGCCGGGAAAATAAATTTACACCACCACCACCACCAGAACGCAGTGGCTCTGGCCGGTGCTGTTTACACGGCGCGTTTACATCGGTTTAGTCTTTCTCGGCCAAGTGTGGGGGGTCGCGGCACAACGCAACGTCAGACCGCCACTGGCTGAATGAATTGCGGGATGGCTCACTTAGTCGGCGCTATCCACACTGGGGTCGGTTGTCCGCTTCGCCATGCGAGAAACGGTTTTGCTTGCATCCGAGCCAGCCCGACCTTTGACCCTGAGATGTACGCAGACCGCGGGTTCCCACCCGGGAATACAGGCAATTCCCACGTGGCGAGAAAGTGAGCCGATTGGTTGGCGGTGGGAAACGCCTGTCTCACGACGCGTCGAGGATTCGCCGGCCTAATAAAAAGGGGACGTACCAACGAGTGACTTTGATGGGCAACTCAGCAAGTGAGTTTAGTTCGTGCTGGGGCTCGAGAGCTGTCGCTCCGTAATCGAGTCAGGTCGTGGGATTCCGAGGGACTTCTGTCCCCGTAATCGGGACGCAATCCCACGAGCCAGCCAACTCCCGAGCTTGGATAAGCTAACACCCGACCACCTCCTTCCCAACCCCGTACAGGGGAAGTTATCATTTCGCAGTGTTGTTTATCTTTGTATTTTCATCCCCTACCAAAGTATTAAATTGTTTATCGAAAAGTAATCCCCAAATTCAACTGAATTAGTCGTCGACGGCCAAGGGAAGCAACTTCGTCTCCGGCAAGACCCGCCCAGCTTCCCACAACGAAGCCCGTCACCCCATCCGGACCTGGCAGTCCGGACGGCGCAAGGTGACCGACAGCGAGAGCAACGAAAGAACCCGTACTGATGTCATCTAAGCTATTATTGCTACGTAAAGAGCACATTTAGTTCTATAATATAAGCGATAACATTTTGTGCTCGCTAATACTATTTAGAAGCAAATAGCTAAAATGCGCCGATGTCGTGTTCGCGCTAACCGTGTCGCGATGTGTACAAAAATGCCTGTACTCGACTATTCTAAAGTCAAGAATTATATGACACATCTGACCTGATTTTATTAGCAATACTGTCAGCAAAGAATGCAAAAGACGCCTCAAAATACCATATAGCTTTCGCGACTCATTCTGTGAAGTTAAAATAACTTTGGAAGAGATGAGGAAATTGCCAAATATATAGTAGAAATCCCTGGTTAGATAACACAAAGAGATCCAAACGGCACCCTGTTAAAGGGCTACTCCACCGATTTTTTCATTGTCTCCGATTTGCTTGAAATTTTGCTAAACTAACCAACAAACATTGCGAAAATAGTATCCCAAATATTAGGCCAAATATTGTTTTTTCGCGAAGTTATTGAATTTACAGTTTTGGTCCTCACCGTGTTTTTCAAGCTCGAAGTCTCTACTGGAAACAATGAAAAAGTGACGTCAGTGGAAGGCAGGGGTTCACTCTTTGGGCTGTAGATTTCGTTTGAAACTGATTCGAAGCAGTTTCATGGTGTCAAATGAATGCTTGGGAAGCTCGCTGCAGTACCCGCGCTCCAGCACGGAACAAATGATTGGCATATTCTATTTTTTGGCTGCTTGCTCTACTGGCAAGCCTGCCTGCCACTGACGTCACGGCCCTGAAAAGCGCGCGTATAATTGAATGTTGGTTTTTGCATCATTTTCATTTGCCGATTTCGCAATAACTATTATGAATTTCGCGATTCTAAATAGCACACCGGAGAGAGTAAAGGCCGGGGAGTCAGAAAATATAGTTAGTTGAGGATAGCTCAAAAAATCGGTGGAGTACCCCTTAAAGCATCTAAAATAATATGAACGCTGCCAATATATAAAAAAATTAACTCGAAATATTTGAGTTTATTTTATAATCACCATATCTAATTGTGTATTTTTCAGGACGACGATTCCCGTGATAGCCTTTCACGTATTAGCGTCAAAATGCAACTGGCCCTCTTCATGTTTATGATGACCTTTACATATTTGTCTTGCGGTAAGCATTTACTGTATACGAATGTTTTACTACTTAGTGATATGACCGATGCTCTAAGAAATTTGCATAGTATACTTTTCCGCAAAGCACTCAAAAGATCCAATCGCAAACACTGAACGTGATGTTTAACCCTGCACAGTGTGACAGCGCAGACTGTATTTGAGGCCTAAATATGAATGACAAGCTTAAATTTAGGCTTGTCATTCACCAAGCCCTGCCCCACTTAGATTGTGTGACGTGCAATAACAACCGGGGTCTGATTGGTTCGGTTCCAGGAGGAAAACTGCTCGTGCATTTATTGCTGCGCTTAATACTTGACGAATCTATAAGTACGTATGTGGTAGTTGCTTGGAAACAAATTACCCTGCAAGGCCGTTACATATTGCAGCGATTGGGTCTCCCGAGTGCTTTGCTCGGAAAGTAGACGCCCCAGATTTGGTACAGTTATAAAGAAGTAAGGAGTAGTCCAGGGAAGCTCACTAATAAGGTTTATTATGTGTTAGACTGTCATGCAAATCAGACTTGTACCGTACGCATTACAAGTAATCAAATTACTTGTAATCGATTACTTTTTGGAGTAATTCTGTAATCAGTTGATTACTTTTATAAGGCAGTAATCACAAGAGTAATCTGATTACTTTTTGAAGTAATAAAATTACTTGTAACCGTTACAATTTGTCCACGGGACACCCCCCCCCCCCCCCCCCCCCCCCCAGGCACACGCCTTTTTTTTTATAAAACGACAAAAATAAAATTTGCTTTTTTTTTTTTCGAACGGAAAAAAGAAAGATTTTTGCGGAGCTGTAGGAAACGAGGTCAATCTCTTTCTATGTGCAGTTTCTGTGGAATATCGGTTTTTTTTTTTTTTCGAGCTGTGACTGGGAGTGGGAAGCCCCAGGGAAGCCACAGTGCGTGACAAAGGCCATTCAGGGCGAAGTTTGAGGAAGCAGAATGTAGCTTTGTGAGTCCTTCGTTCAAACTAGCCCCCTCACGCACACACACACAGAAATAAAAAAAAAATCCTGCTTAGGGTACCTACTCGCAGCCCGTAGAAGAACCAGAACCGAAGAATGCCTAAAGTGGATGCAAAATATAACAAAGGCAGTTGAAATATTTCCCCATTTCCCCTACGTGGTCTTTGTGACAAGCAATGTTTCGAGTCGAGAAGTGGTCGGGGCGATCTCTTCCGCTAATGGATACTACACATGATCCGTTTCAAATCCTGGAGCTGCTGCTCTTTTGTGTAACATGCGAGCTCATCCACATGTGAATAATAAAATGAGCGACGCAAACTTTGAGCGACAATCCTTGCTTAACAAGATCTAGAACTCCCTCCGCTTTTCCCCTCCCCTCCCCTGCCCCCCCCCCGCCCACACACACACACTGGCGAACGCCCAAATCATTCAAGAGGCTTCAAACGAATTCTATGCTTGTGTTCGCATTGTGAAGGTGCAACGACCACGAAGAGGGAGCCAGTTTTTCTTCTTCCATACTTGTGCAAATGTGAAATATAGATTGGAAGTAGTTCATTGTTATGAGCGCTAAAGATGTGTCTTCACACAATAAAGTAATCGGAAAAGTAACGATTACTTCTTTAAGTAATGTCCAATTACTTTTGCCGTCGAGTAATCAAGTAATCTAATCGAATACTTTTTAGCCAAGAGTAATAGTAATTGTAATCGATTACTTTTTTTAGTAACGTGTACAAGACTGCATGCAGTAACCCTCGGCAGGTATGTTTACTAAATATATGTTTTAACCGGTGTTTTTGGTGATCGTAGTTTTTAGTGAAAACAAAAATTTACTTGGAATTAATTTGTAGAAACCTTAAAATGTATTAGTTTCCAGAGTGGTTAAAGTTACTCTTAAAAAGATGTTTGAGTTGCAGCTACATTTTACTGTAACTTAAAGGGATACTGAAGCGAAACTTGAAATACACCTATTATGGTCAGAAATAGGTTCAATATGATCAATGATATTCATAAATCATAATCGCGCGTTTGTATTTTGAACGGATGGCTATATTTTTCACCCTAATGGGCCCGATTGGGCGCGCGCTCAAAAATCGGCCATCGGAGAGCGCGATGCGTCTTGGGATATTGGGCGCATTCGTGACGTCACTTGTGCCAGTCGGGAAAGGCTACGGCGTGAATGTTGTGGTTACGAGCGTTGCCACTTGGTGGCGCGTCGACGATTTACGACCTGTGACAACGTGGCCGTTTGAGATGTGCAAGGGCTGCACGCACGCTGCACCACGGCAAGTCGGCAACCACGGCAGCACTGACAAAACCAGCTCTGAGGCCGGATTCTCAAAGCGAATTCACGACGAAAAAAGTGCGTACGACAAATTTGAGAGAAAACCCGTGCTCTCGAAACGAAATTGTCGTAACCTTTGCGCAGGTTACGACAAAATCCTACGACAGCTCTGAAGCTGTCTTACGCACTTTTTACGATCAAATCAACAAGGCCGACAGCGTCGCTCAGTTACTTGGTATCGGCCACCAACGGACATTTATTTTTCTTCGTGCTCTTCTCGTGCGTCCCGACTTCAACCAGCAAGAAAAAAAGGAAGGAGTACTTAAAACAGACCACGACGATCAAGAACGCAGGATCCACAAACACACGAGAAGAGCTACAACAGCCACGATTCTGCCGACCGAGCGAGCTCGGCAGAATATAGTAGGCCTAGCAGCAACATCGACTCGGCGCACCGTTGCTCCGGCGGTCCTTGGCCAAGACCGTCTGTCCATGACCGGCTGGCCTGCTGAATGGAATATGCCCGCGCGACCCTTGGGACCCTTACCGGATGAGTAGTTTGATCCCTGAACTAAATTTCAGAGGTCAATATTTTCCCCTTGTCATCTCGATCTCCTTGTTTTCCGAGACAGCGGTGACGAACGCTGTCGTCGAAAAGGGACTCTCATTGATTCTATCTCCTTGTTTTGTGTGATATAGAGCTCAAATAAACGCCATACGGATTACCTTGGCAACTCGGTATGTACACTCTGTTATTAGTATGCCATTTTTATTCTGACTCGACGCTACGTCAGTGTCGAGCTATAGCAGTTCGTGGGAGCTACGCGATGTCGGTCTAACCTTTCTTTGCCGAGTGTCATGTCAGTATCAAGTTGCAATCGTAAAAGATCGGTCCAGAAGCGCTTACCGAAACGCGGTCTAACAGAGCGAATCCAGCACTTCGATCAAACGCGCGTGTCCGCTCCGAGTGTGAACAGGTATTTGGCATTTGCGTGGCTCTTGCTGACACCCTCGCAGTTCAAACATATCCTTTTTAACGTCGGCTTGCAGCTCGCGACTCGCAGCAACTAATACCGGCCGTGCCAGAAGCATGCTCGGGCCGTGTCGTGCAAAGAGCCGCAACGAGAACGAGCTCACTGTGGCCAACTACGCTTTGGCTTTCTCCGCCAAGGCTTTGCAAACGCGTTCAGGCCTAGGCGAATTCTGCCGGCACGCCGTATTGCCGCAGAACGGCGCTGCTATTTTGGCACAAGTGATGTCACGAGAACTTCCCCCCATCCACCAGATGAGAATTTGAAATCGTTTAATTATGTTCAAAATTAGTTCTCCTGTGTTTTACAGCGCAATATTTATATTTCCGAGGTGGTGCCTGTCCCTAGCCCATGTTTATGCAACAAGATCGGCGCTAAAATTTCGTTTCACTACCCCTTTAAATGTAATTGAGCCACAAACAGAGCTGCAACTTTCTAGATGCATCTCGTTACAGATACAGAGCGCACAAAATACATCTGCTACGTCATAGTTACTTGTAAATATATATATATATATATATAACTTTGGAAGATCAAGCGAAGATTAAGTCGTTTACAGTATATATATATATATATACTGTAAATGACATTTTTCGCGGGCTCAATATTTTGCGAATTGAAGGTGATTCGCGAATTTCGCAAAAATTAAGCACACTGACCCTATATTAGTTTCAGGATTGTTGACCTACCTCTTAGTTTCGGAGGGATATGTTCCAGCTAACTACGAGAAACAATAAAATCTGTCAGATGCCATATTTTTCAAGCAGAATTGCATTTTAACGAATTCGAATACAGATATCGTGAATGTGTGAAGCGTGGCATAGAACATATTTATTTATTTATTCATTTCAGATCCCCTACAGCGCCTGTAAGGGCGCTGTAGAGTATCTGAAGGTTAGCAGGGTTGGGCATTTGCCAAGCACCTGCTCTGCCAACAACCTGCCAAACGTTTGCGCGTGTTGACGCATGATTAGTCACGCCACACGACGCTCCGTCGCTTCATCCTGTGCAATGCTCAACGTGTCGCCGCGAAAAAAAAAAAAGAAAAGACGTAAGAAGGGTTAGAGGCGACGCTTTGTAGAGACGCGGCGGCACGTACTGGGAAGGCGAATGTTGAACGTGAGCGTCGGCTGCTTTTCTCCTAAAATGCAATTCTGCGTATGGCGGTTTTATCGATTTATCCAAATACAAATTAAAGCATTTAGTGTTTTTTATATGAGAGAAATATTCGAATGTCTCATATGCGTCCATAAGCCTTGTTTTTTTTTTTATGTCTTGAAGACGGCTTCGCGCTGGTCAAGTTAATGGGGCTGTAGGTCAGATTAAGGAAACTTGTCGGCGGAATCAGCAAGAGGTCAGCTTGATGGTTGCTCGCTCTGTTGCGTCAAAATCTTGTTATATTTGGCGAACAGCAGCACAATATTGATGACCTGACGATTTTTAGTTTGAGTGACAACATAAACACGACTGAAGCGAGAAACAAACTGTGAGGGACAACACCCGTTGCCCGCATTTGTGGCTTATCCAATTTTGGAACGGAAACATACAAAGACAGGTGGTTCATATAGAAGTGTCTCACAAGTAGATTTTTTTTTCCTAGGAATTTGTCTAAATGAAAACTTGGCCGACAATAGTTAACGGTAATCGAACTTTATGTGCAGGGGAAATATTTCGGTCTTTTAGACGCAACTTTGAAAAACAAAAATTGAACATTTCTTAGCTAAGGAAATAACAAGTAATAAAATTAGAACAGTCGCCAGTGATCGGATGACGTCATGCCTAGGTTCAGAAATGAAATTCCTAGTCACTCGTTGAAAATACATAGCATGAAATGAAAATAATATTAAAAAGACTAGCGATGCCGAATTATTTCTGATGATAGGAGAGGGATCATGTGGGCCATCAGTTCCGACACCTAAAGATAATGAATTCTTAGCACCAATAGAACGCAAAAAAGGCAAGCATCAAAAAGTTTTGTATAATAGGCTTACTGGTAGCTTAAGTACGATGTTGCCATAGAAAATCCTAATTAAATATCAAGCTAGAAATATTCTTTTTGTGTTATGCTCGTCAAAATATTGGGCGCTGGAGAATTAAACGCAACAATCTAAGTTAAGTTCTTTTTTGGAACACTTATTGTTCACGTCCCGCCCATTCAAAACACGGAAAAATAGCCGAAGCGCGAACTTTTTGTGAAATACTTAGTATATTGTCATTGACGACGGTCATCCCGCAGCAAGCTCTGGCGAAAGCGAAAATAGCTCGTAAAAGCACATTCCTGTGTCGGGCGCACGCTTACGGAAGTAAAGGAATAACATTTCGGTGTGTCCCCTGTTGTCTGCACAGTGTGACGTTGCCTTTCTTGCCCTACTGAGAACAATTTGGTGAATATATCTGCTGCCAGGTGAACACAGAAACACGTTTCTCGCCAGTAACTCCTACCGAAATTCGATAGGATTGCCGGAAACATATTGTGTTCGCCTCGACAAAGAAGGCTGTTCCTCTGTTGTTTTTTTGTTTAATGTAAGGGCTCCTTATAAGGAGCCTCAGTAGCCAAGCCTATGCTAAAAGGGGCGATGCAAGGATTTTTGTACTGTGCGCGAATACCGCTTAGAACGGATCCCTGACGTTAATGACCTGTAAAACACCCGTTCACTTTTCACCACACGCGATCGAGTCGTGGAACAAAATGAAAGAAAAGCGAGCAGCGTTCACCCCTCAATTCGCAGCCAGAACAAGCGGCCACGTGATCTGCAGCAGATTATATGCCGCAAGTGTTGATCATATAGCCACGCGCTTCGGCCATTGTCGTCATTGCAGCGATTGGACACGGGCCACTACCCGAATGCTACTCGCGCTATCGAAAATCACGAGCCCAAATCGAATGCCCACACAATGCTCGGGTCCAATCTGGAAAGTACTGCAATACCCCCAGTTGCGTCATCAAGTTTTGCGAAGGAGAGATTGAATGAAAACGCTCGCCTTTGTCCTTGAAATTACACCGCAACAAAGAGGTTTCTTGGACAGTGGCGTTGCGTGTGAGTATCCTTCAGTCCGTTAGTGCCAGTAAGCTTGTGTAAAGTGAAAAAAAAAAAAAAAAACATTTTAATTGAATATCGTTGCACCGCCCCTTTAAAGAAACTGGAAACAGAGGATGGCAGTGAACAACGAAAACAAAAGTTCTTCACCGCGAGCATATTTCTTATCAAGGTTGTTCCGGGTACCACTCTTGACGCATCGAATTCTAAGAAAACTATTTGCTGTAGTGTATTTTTTGTTGTAATTACTATTTGCACGTGCTTGGGGGATTTGCCAACGCTTGCGGCCGCCACAAGGACGATCGGGGTTCAAAATTCAAGCACCCCCCCCCCCCCCCGCCTCGGCCGAGTTCTTTCTTTGATCAGCCTTTCCTCTACCGAAACATTCCGATCCCTTCTCGGCTGTCATCGTGTGTTCTGGCTTAGAACTTATCTGAATGTACTGTGCGTATGAAAGCAGGGAACGTACAGAGCGCGACACTGTTAGCGCGAACAAGCGATCGCCGGTTTTTCCAATTTTTCTCTTTGAAACCAAGGGATCACATCCAAGTTATTATTGCTACGGAAAGAGCTCATTTGGTTCTGTAATGTAAGCGATAAAATTTCGTGCTCGCTAACACGATTTAGAAGTAAAATGCGAAAATGCGCCGATGTTGCGTTTGCGCTAACAGTGTCGCGATGTGTACATTGTGTATAAATGCAAAGGTAATTCGCAGAGCCAAGAAAGTCACCTTTTTGTGGCCTATGCATGATGCAGTGGAACATTTATTTGTTTGATGGACAGGTAAAAGATCGCCTTATTGAACACTCATTCCGAGCTCTGCATTCGCCTACCTTTTATATTCATGACCGTATTCCTAATTTCGATGTTTACGGCATATTTTTTTTCCAACCCTAACAACCGCGACTGAGCACGTATTAGACATCCTCAAGAAAATATCCCTTTCCAGTTTGTTTCGGGAATTGAAAGTCGGGGCCATTCCCTCAAAAGGAAATTGATTCACTTGGACAAAACATAGGAGACTCAGAAATACATTTTTTTTTTTTTTTGCTTAGAGTAGTGCGTACAATTTGGCCACCGGTTCAAATTTCAAATGGTTTTCATCAGAAGTGGTGAGGTGCGTCATTAAATATGTAACCATTTTTTTTTTCTTTTCAGGATTAATTTTGAAACGTGACAATATATATTTTGTCGTAATAGGGAGTTTTTGTAGCTCATTTCCGCTGTCCCGCAACGGCTCTCCGCAACTCGCTGCGATACCCAGAACTCTACTGTCAAGGCCATGGGCGCGCAGGCGCAGTAGCGGCTTCTTCGTTGCGGAGGGCTTAGTGGAGGGGAAAACGCGGTCTACGAAAACTTTCTATTATCTATAATGTATTCAACGCATATAGGAAAATTATGGTCGAATAAAATATCTTTACCTTGATCTGAGCACCTCCCGTTTTTTAAGACGTACTGGTGCATATTTAAATTCTTTAGGCATTAGTACAAATTGTTGCATCAAAAGGGAAGATTTGTAAATAAAGGACACCCTACCAGAGTGCGTTATGATGGGAGGAAATCAACCAAATGAAATAAATTGATTGAATTTTTTAAGTTAAAATATTGCCTCTGAATAAACCTTACAACGTATTTGTTCCAGAGGAACAATCGGATTACATCCCGGATGTCTATGAACAGTTGAACTACTTGTCAGAGGATTGTAAAGAAAATCTAATAAATCAAGCAGAGCAGAAATGTATGCTATCAATAAGTCACAAGGTAAGCAACTCATCAGTCTGGAATATATGACCGTTACTTGCAGCATTTCAAGATCGACTCATTTGGCAAAGTTCCAACTAGAAACTTCCTGCCTCTCCCCCAACGACATTCTTCACTGAAAGTTCACTTTAATCGCGAGTGCATTAGAGCGCCACCCTTTTTGCACGCTACGAAGGGTGTCCGCAATGACAGCTCCGAATGCAGTCTCAGTATGCTAAAGCGAATATGGTTCAATTATCTGGTGAGTGAAATTGAAAGAAGTGGTTCAGCCGCTGCACGCAGCCGCTTATGCAGGTCAACGGACCCAAATTTGTGCCCGTTGCTTCAAAAATAAATTGTAACTACACTGACATGACCTTTGAAGTAACAAATTACCCTTTAAGATTGCTTGCCGTGAAAAGTAATTAAACTTAAACGTTGTTTCCTTATTCGATTACTTCCGAGTTACTATAAACAATCATCCAAGATATGCGAGGTTTGCTAGCGTCTTCAGGGACTCCTTCAGGGACGCCGGTATTTGTATAGTCTGATTTGGCTGGAAATTGGCCGACCGCATCAATAATTATTTATCAATGAGCTGCAGGACAAAATATTTGATAAAAATGTTTTTTTTTTATTATTATATGGCTCCTGTATTACACAAGCACCGTCAACTGTCATTGCTCCAAGAACAGTTGACTCAATCGCGATCGGCTGGAGTTCGATGGCGGCGCCAACTCTCATTGAGCTGCTTACGATCATTGAGTTCAACTGAGCTGTGCTACATCAGTTATTTGGGGGGAGGGTTGAAATCAGAGTGTGGAACCGAAATTTTTATCGGTTCGGTTCCGGTTCGGGTTCACGGCTTTCGGTTCGGTTCCGGTTCAGTTCCGGGGAGCAAAAAATAACGGTTCAAACCGGTTCGAACCGGTTTGAACCGCTAAATTGAGAATATATTTTCCACGTTGTTCTGGCCATATACACTATTTACGCCGTAAAACGATTAACTATATAGCTTCTTCGATCGTCCGTGCAATTTACTTCTGTATTTACCAAAATATTTAATTCAGTTATTTAATTTTGACGCCAGAGTAGAAGAAAATCTACATTAACGCACATAACGTCGTGTTCGTACGACAGGACATCCCTTTGTTTACCAGTAACACATATTTTACCTGAATCAAAATGTTTAAGTACAAGAGTGAAAAGGTGAGCTTGTTGGTACATCTGTAAATAGATCAGCTTGAAATTTAGAACTATACGACATTTTCTTGTCCTTTCTTCGTGTTTAAGTAAAATTCTAAAGTTCAAGCTTATTTATTTACACGGTATAAAATATTGTCATGAAGTGTGGTAGGTCGCCCAAAATACCCGTGATTGATACAACTTTGTGTCGCAGTATTAAAACTGAAATCGCGATTGTGTCTTTGAACCAAGGGATTAAATACATCACATGAAATTATAAAATGAGCACCCCGTGGCCATATATATTACCAGATATTGTTTACGAAATACACTTCACAATATATATGTATAAGATGAAGACACAACTTACCTAAAAGCAATGAAATTTTCAAAATGTTACAAAAGCTTTAGGATAATTCCTTTCGTACTATTTTTATAGGAACACCGAGCGGATATCAAAATGCTTGTTGTTCTAACCAAACATTGTTTACACTCAGTACCGCATGCATGCGACTAATCCTGCAGCAAGGAGTAATCGCAATTGTTCACCCTAAGCTATACGCACCTTCGCACTCCGATCGAATCTGCCCCAAAATAGCGCTTGTCCAAGTGAACATTTTCTTAAACAGGAGAAGGTGGCATAGCCTGGCTGTTGAGGTTTGTTCGTGACAAGATGCCGGCCAATTTAATTTGCAAATGAGCATCACCCTTGCTAATTGATGCCTTTAACGCGGTAGTGTTAAGGAGCTCATGTCGCAGAAAACCCGATGTTGGTGACGTGACTAGAAAATCTTGGTTGGTCGATAGGGTGATGACGTCAGAGCTACATGCCCTCGCGCAAGAGTTTCAAACAACCCACAATGCTCATGTGGAACGTAACATCACGCGTGGAATGAGAGTGATTAAAACATGACATGTAATGCGAATTAAAGTTCGCCGTATCTCTCAAATGATTTCACTTTTTAAAGTAATTCCTTTGCCTTAAAAAGAAAATTAAGAATTTTATGTGGGATTTGAACCCACGACCCTTCGGTTGCGAGTCAGACGCTTTTGACTAGGCCACGCGAGGCACGCTTTTGTGGCAAATGAGAATGCGATGCAAACGAGGCCCGTAAAGGCTATCGCGTTCCAATTCTAAAGGCGAGGCTTAAGCGTCCTCCAAGATTCTTTTTTTGTTAAGCAAAACGAAGTAGTATTTCACGTTCTACTCGACTTAATTGGACAATTTCTGACGGTTTGCGCGCGTAATCGTCATAGTTCCGCCGCGCTCCCTTGTTTACTTTGTTTTTGTCCAGCCCACAGACACATAAAAGTAATGTTCCCCACATAAAAGAAGCAATAACAGACTTCTATATGCTTGAGGAGTTATATGTGTGAGGAACACATAGCTATTTAAATTAGCTTCAAAATCAGGAATGTGTGTAAGGCTGTCCCATATCACCTACAACGTGGTTGTCGAGGATAAAAACGCCGGAAAAGATTGGCAGAATATTTTTCAGATAATTTGGGGGGCATTGCTTTAGGGTGGTCGGCCACTTATTTATGTTGTCAAATATTCAGTTAGTAATTAAATATATTTTATGACGATCAATAAATTTTACTTTATAAAGTACCATAACCGCTTGAGACCGACGCGGAAGGACGATACTCGAAACTACGCGAGTTGTGGAGTCTGCGTGAAAGTGTTTCTCTGTTTGCTGAGTGGCAGTGTGAAACATCGGGTTGCAGGGTACGCCAAAGAGGGCTCAGTGCTCGCATAATAGATTGGAAGTCAAATACATGAGATGTTCAAAAATAGAGAGATAATTAATGCTATTTTTCTAAACAATCCTTTACAGAACGCCTTACTGCAAAAAGATGTGCGTAAAAATGCACGCAACGAAATTTATAATTTTACATAAATAGGGCGAAGGACAGACAAACATTCTTAAAATCTTAGTATAAATCACATTTTATCAGCTTCCATGAGCTCGAAACTTCGCGAAATACTTCCTCGGGAGGCTAATGTTATATTCGGTTTTACCTGCACTTGTTTTGGCCCTCAATTTAGAACCCTATGCTTGAATAGTCATGCGCGCTAACATTTCTCTAGGCTGCCATATATCATCGCGAGACCGCTACAAACATTGCACAACTTTACAATTAGGACACATATTGCTAGTGTTGCAAACATCACATTTCACCAGAAAGCTGAACTGTTAAACATGGTATGCACGTGACATCATCACACTATAGGCTGGTGGTCATTGTCATTTCTTCTTGCTGAGAAAATCGAATTCGATGGTGCAAAATGCATGCTGCAGGAGGTTCAAGCTCAGTGAAAGAGAGCGTCGTGAGGAACGGCGCGAGCGTCTGGAATGACAAAAACGTGCTATTTGGTCAGAGACTTTTGCACACAAAGTAGTTTCCGGGGTCACGCTTTATTGTCTGCGCCAAAGATGCGGGGAAGAGGAACCTTTACAACACAGTAGGTTTTTAAAATGAACTCCCACTCCTCCCCCCCCCCCCCCCACACACACACACACACTTCTTTTTACAGCGGAGCTATTAAGGGCTAGTTGCCCCAGTATCGTGTCCGTCAGCAAACAAATGGCGACACTAAACTCTTGACAGCTATCGACATCTATAAGTGACGACGGCTACCAGACAACCGACTTGCTGGTTGTCTGGTTGCCGCCGTCGCGCATAGATGGCGCAACCTTTCCAGCCTTTCCACTCTGGCTTGCCGACTTGCGGCCGGCCATTACTTCATTCCTACCATAGTACAGCTCCGCTGGTCTTCCTTCTTCACCGGAGTGGAAAGGCTGATAGTATTTCTGAGAAATTGCCTCCTCCGTTCGTGTGTGGTAATTTGACAATTTTAGTTGTCACTTGTTAACAGCAACCCTTCACTGCTTTTATTGTGCACCCCGTGAAGTTTTAAGGGGTCATAAAACGATATGGGGTTGGAATGTTCATGAATCTTTCATTAGCCCCTGTCTCACTGAAATTAACTCTTTACAAAGTTTGAATTCGTCCCAAGTTAAAATATGCAGCTTCTGTCTGGGATCCCAGACTAGTCACTTTCGCATCTACATTGGAAGCCGTTCAGAACAGATCCGCTCGTTTCATCCTCACAAACTATCACCGCACCGCTAGCGTCACCTCTGTGAAAACTACTCTCTCATTACCACCTTCATCACTTCGTCGTAAAATTTCTCGTCTTTCCCTATTCCATAAAATGTATCACCATAAGTCTTTCCTGCGCGACAAAATAATTGCTCGGCCTGTCTATGTTTCCTCCCGTCTTGATCATCAACATAAGGTGGGCATTCCTAACTCTATCACAACCACTCTTTATTCATCTTTCGTTCCCCGTACACCCCAGGAGTGGAACCACCTTCCCCGGTCGATCGCCATTATCACGGACTCTGAGCTCTTGAAAAGTACAATAACTAATTACTTCATTACTGAGTGTGTCTAATATGTATTATGTTATTTGCATTAACCTTTTTGTTGCTCTACCCCTCTGTAATGCCTTCGGGCCCTGAGGGTATAATAAATGAAATGAAATGAAACCCATGCGCCTGACGACAGTCGAGCGCGGCTCATGGATTGGGGGAGAACTGCGTGAGCACTGTACATCGGCTCGTAACAAGCAACCCCTTGGTGGACACTTGGGTAGTGGTTCGTGTCCAACCACTGCAGTAATGAGACAAGCCGAACTCTAACAATGCCTGGAGCTCCCAGCACGCGTTTTCTTCCTTTCCGACCCCAGCGCGGGGGTATGATTATCGTTGGCGGCATAAGACAGGCACCAGGCCACGTGGCCGCTTCTGGATCCGAGTTGAGGGAATGAACGATGCTCATATTTTTCTAACTTTTTGGCGACTGCCATAGCCTAGAAAAAAGAGCAAAGCTAAGTGCAATCAGTTATTAACGTTAGGAAGTGATTCTGAGTAGAATTTAGTGATGTATAGAAATCTTTTTATAGCTTCTTTAAGCAAAATACAGAGGGGGTCAAAACTTTTTGCAATAACTTGAGAACGACGCTCGTTTGAGATTTACAGCGACTGCCATTGTTCGGTTGTCCCTCTGATGTCACTAATATTTTTTTTTAAGTATTTCTTCCGTACACACATGTAGTTCCATGGAACGTCATATTAATAAGTCGCATTTAGTCATTTCAATACTTCTATTCTCGGGGACATCTTTCGGATGCAGTTCAGCAGCAACGAAAAAATGTTTGGGTGCCTCAATGATGTAAAATTGGTCGTGCAACATTTTTTGTACTTTCAACAAATACTGCTAAGGAGTAATCTCTGGTGTTTATAGCCTGCGAAAATATGCATTAGTTTTCCCCTCCTCGCAATAGCAGATGCATAAAAAATAAAGGAAAGAGACAGCTTTCGATCCCCTCCTCAACTCGCAATTTCAACAAGCGGCCGCGTGATCTGACGCTAATTATATACCGTCAGTGTTCATCATAGTCATGCCCTAGGCGGCTATACTTCGTCTCATCCTACGATGGACTAAAGGCCAAAGCCGCGGGCCGCAAGGTCCAATCACGTTGCAAGCTAAAATATGACACGCTTAGCATTGGTTAGGGGTGGACGAATGACCCTCCGAGTCCAAAAGCGCTGCATCATTTTTATAGCTTCGACACTGCAAAGAGCCTGTATGACATAGCTTTCTTTGCAATGTAAAATTATTGAGTCACTCAGTGCTGTTCAATCCAAACTACCGTCCGCCCCTCCCCATTAGTGATTCGAGACGCGGGTGCCGATACGCGCATCGAAGCGAAATACCACGCAACTTGTAAGTGGCTCGTGATTGGATCTGGCGGTCCGTAGCCTCTGCCTTTAGTCCATCGTAGGGTGAGACGAAGTATACGGTCTGGAAAGCAAAAGCTTGGGCTGAGCATCAGATATTTTTAGAGTTGGGCTATTATCATATCTAATTGACATGAGCCGTACCGAACGTTTGACGATGCTGACTGTCAAGAACCCGTGCACTCGACTAGGTGTTATGAAAATCGCTTACGTCACGGTGTCACGTGACTCGGTGCTAAATCGCTATGTCATGTTATGTCACGCTGTCAACAAGGCTAATACATCTAGGGACTTCCTCAAATTAAATCGAGTTGATGCAGTGAGTCACGTGACGTCACGAGGTCACGTGACATTACTTGACAACATGTATTGACACAATGACGTCACGTGAGAACGTGACACATGGTTAATCATAGTGCCAATACAAAAGCGCCACGAAAACCCACAATTTACCATAGGTTGCAATTCTGTATATGACAATTTGATCAATAGAAATACAGCCGCCAATTTTTTATTCCCATATGTTCATTTTGTGGTACTAACAAAAAATAAAAAATTACCTTGAACCGTTTTGAACCGGTTACCGTTATATTTTTTTCGGTTCGGTTCCGGTTCAGTTCTAAGATGGCGGCGAAGATTTCGGTTCGGTTCAGTTCCGGTTCGGCTAAAAATAACGGTTCCGTTCCGGTTTTCGGTTCGGTTCGGTTCCGGTTCGACACCCTGGGTTGAATCAGTTCGCCATTTTTTGGCAACAAACTCAGTGGCGCCATCTATTGGGCAGCCCCGGCACACTCCCGATTCACGTATATGCCCTAATTTTGTACTCATCATTCTTTTGTCATAGGAGCGAAATAAGTCTGACAGTGCTATAAGCGACCATTTCTGCAATATTGCCGCGGATGGCCAGCGCCAGCTAAGCATTTACTATTGCGGAAGATTGATGGAGATATCTAGAAAGTATCGTAGCAGCAAATATTAGGGAGTTTTAGCAGGTCGTTTCCACACGAATGGGGTGGCCCTCGAACGCATCGGCGACGCCACTCCGCATGCGCGCGCGATTCGTTCGGGGCGTCCGGAGGCTCTTCTCGTTCGTTCCTCCGTGGTTTCGCTCATTCCGGCCGCTGGAGTCGTCACCGCAATGCAGCCAGCACCGTTCACGACTCGGGTAAAAAAAAGATGGCGGTCGGTTTGGCGACTGACTATACCCACTCAGCCAGCTTAGGACAGCGGGAGGCAATTTGCGATCCTGTTAGTCTGCTTCATTTGAGAGGTTGAACCATTTCGAAGACTTCTCATAATGGTAAGCGACCGTGAATGCTGTAAACTGCGCATGCTAGGAAATTTTTGCGATCTGCGGACAGACTAGCTGCCGTGGCGACCGCGAACAGACGAAATGATTTGGTTCGACGGCACACAACGTGAACGATTGTTCAAGTTCAAGATGACGGAGACACACCAGATACCTTTACGGTCGTTCAGGTACTTTTTACTCTATCTATCTTCGCAGTTGATGAAATTCCGACCGGCAAATGTTACTTCGGCCGTCTTGTTGACATCGGTCGTACGTCGGAAACACGAGCCTCCACAGATTTATCCATTGCAGAATGTTTCCCATGTTTATTACAAGATGGCGCCACGGTCAAACACAGTCATCATCGTCGTTTACACGGTTGTGCCAGTTTCACGATTCTCTAAGATATGTCAAATTTCACATACGGTTTCACGGAACGGAACGGCAGCACCGTTCGTGATTCAAATACCAGTTCGGCACCGCCGAACTTGTATTTGGCACACAACTCAGGTTGTCGTCGGACTTCTTCGAGTCCGACACATTGTGCTACCGGTCCGAAGGTTATGCCGAAACTCTCCGAGAACTGTTCGACAATGTTCGACCAATTCCAACTCGAATAGGCCGAAGTAAATCTTCTTATATCACCGGAGACTTCAAAACCGCCACCCACGTCTTTGTACGCCAAGACCATCAAAGGAAGCCATTGCGTCCTCACTACCAAGGACCGTTTCCTGCGATTGAGCGAAGAACCTAGGGTGCCTTCATGTGCGCTTTGCTTAGGGTGGTGGCATCTCGCCATTTTGTCCCACACTTTTATTTTTATTTTTTGTTCAGAAGCGCGTGAAAGAGCGTGTCCCTGCACGCGCTCGTGGCGCTGACTGTGCTACGGCGACATTTTGTTTTCGTCGATTTCTTTGTATTTTCCCCGTGAGCGCGTGCTGTCGGCATCGGCTACTACAAAGGGTGGCATCACCCTAAACAGAAGGACATTGAGGCACCCCAGAAGAACCGACACGTTTGTACTTCGCATCAACGGCAAGGACGATACAGTAGCCTTTAACTGCCTCAAGCCGGCACATCTTGAGGAAACCCCTGCCTCCCAAATCTCCGCAACACAGGCAGTTCACTGGCAGGATTTATCCAATCCGGCATAAATCCTACCGAGAAGGGGGGGGGGGGGAGGCATATCTGTAGTGGCCACAGATGCGGAGCGTGACATGCGCTGAGCACTCAGCATAAAATAAATAAAAGAGGATGTTCTCGGGCGCGTAACACCCGCGCGCTGGGAGACAGATGCACGCTAGTAGAACGCACGAACCAGTCGCTTCTCCTTGTCTCGGCTCATTTCTTCGGAGTACACGCTCATTATTCCTTCCCCACACTACCATATGGTAACTTGACGGGGTCCGGGGCCCTAAAGCAAAACAAGCATAGCAATCTGTCTGAAAATGTGATACATTGAAAAGACTCGTTATGCAGCATATAGAGTTTCTTTTACCAACTAGGCATGCACTTAAGTAACAATAAACATTGTAAACAAGTGTGAGTGCAAGAACGTTTGGCAGCAAGCATATTATGCAAACGCGAGAAAAAGAAAAATGTGATAAAGAGACATCCACGTTAGATAAAACACTGATACAATTCAACTTTAGTCAGAGAGTATATATCTATGTTTTCTAGATGGTACCTGTTGAGTAGAGAATTGGTAACATATGGCGAAAGGATTGTAAAGCATGATTCGTGCGGAAATGAGGAACATACCATATCTCAGAGTAGCGCAAACTGATCGAGATTTCTTTTTTATTCAAGTCCGAGGTGCGCCAAAGAAATTCATTGAATTTCTTTGTTCCGAAAAGGAAAGCACACAAAAGACGATACACGTGCATATTTGTAATGGCAATAATCTTGAATTTTTCGAACAGCGGTTTAGTATGATATAGGTAGTGTACATCCGCGATGATTCGTAGTATACTTTTGTTTTGAAGTAACTGTATTTTTTTTTAATTCGAGGTTGTTGTTGGTGCTCCAAACGGGGTGACAATAATTTATATGAGACCGGAAAAGGGCAGGATAAATCATGAGTTTAATGTTAACAGGCAATATTGAGCGGCATCTTTTAATAACGCCAATGACTCTGCACAACCTGCTGACCAAATTATCATATGGCGATCCCACGACAGATGCTCAGAAAAAATTACGCCCAACATTTTGTGGTGCTTAACTATATCGATTACTGTACCACTATAGCCTTATTTTTGTACGCGCAGGGAATCTTGTTGACCGATATTTCATCGAGTGTCATTTTTTCAGCTTATACAGTTTAAAGAGTGCCAATTTAAATGTGGAAGCACGGGCACAAGCGCTGGTTTGAAGTTAACTAGTAGCCAAACTTTTCGTCTGAAGGATGGCACCCCTTGCGGTCACAGAAGGGTGAGTATCATCAGAATTCCTGAGCGCCAAAGTTCTGCAATCAACTGATTCCACCAACGCGGAGAAATGTAACATTGCTGCAGTGAAGATTAGTTAAAAACATTGCGACGAAAATTACATATTGTATTTCTGCAAAACACTTTTTAACAGAGAATTTGCCCATACAAACACTTGCATAGAGGAACGGAACTTGATGGTGGTGCAGGAATGTGCCACCCGACGTCCTGCCGTGACGCGACGCCAGGTCACGTTGCTCACCGTTTAACGGGACATAATGATAATAGGGCGTTTTCGTAGACCGCGTTTCCCTCTCCGCTGAGCCCTCCGCAACGAAGAAGCCGCTACCGCGCCTGCGCGCCGATGGCCTTGACTGTAGAGTTCCGACTAGCGTAGCTGGTTGCGGAGAGCGTTGCGGGGCGGCGAAAACGATCTACGAAAACTCCCTATTACCACGTGTAAATTCCGTACGTAACGTTAGATCTGTAATTGCGTGACATCCGTTCGTGATGATTCATCTTGCGTAATGTTACATTTGTCTCTGAACTGTTCGCGAAGTCACATCCGGCCATGACGTTACTGTCATTATACCTGTCTATGGCGTTATGTTTGTTCATGACATTGCATCTATCCGGGAAGGTACACCTTCCTGTGACATCCCATCCCACGGTTACTTAAACTGTCTATGACGGTGCATCCGTCCGTGGAGTTACATGTATATGTGGCTTTAAATCACTCCGTGGCGTTACTCTGTTCATGATGTTACATCAGTCCTTGACGTTACATTAGCCAATGACATTAATCCATTTATGCGGTTACATATTTACGTGACGTTACATCCGTACGTGATGTTACATCTTCCCGTGACTTTACGTCTTTCCTTGACGTTACATCTGTCCTCGACGTTACGTCTGTTTATGGCATTAAATCCTTCTCTAAAGCTACATCTTTCTGTGACGTTAGTTCTTTCCTTGACATTTTATCTTTCCGTGATGCTACATCAGCCTGTGGCGTAACATGTGGTCTGAACGATTCATCTTGCCATTACGTTACATCTGTTTCTGACATAATCTGTCCGTGACGTTACATGCGTCCTTGACGTTACATCGGCACATGAGATTACACTCTTCTGTAACCTTACATCCTTCAGTGACGTTACGTTCGTCCTTGACGTTACATCATTCTGTGATGTTAGACCTATCCTTGACGGTCCATCTGCTTATTACGTCACGTCCCCATGTGATGTTACATATTTTCTTCACGTTACTTCTGTCCCTTACTTTACACCCGTCTTTCGCGTTACATCTATTTGTGACTTTACACCAATCCATGACGTGACATTTGTCTGGGGCATTATATCCACCATGAAGTTACACCTGTCCTTGGCGTTATATTTGTCTGTGACATTACTTCAGTCTGAGATGGTACACCTCTCCCAGAAACTCTGGAACCATGATTTCGAAATAGGTGGATTATTGAAACGAGGACTCCTGTGAATGTAATTAATTATGTTGTGCGTCTGTTTATACAGTCGGAAGTCAGTCAGCCCAATGGGCGTCTGGTGTTCATGAGAAATTTAGCCAGTGCGGTACTGCCGCTAGCCTGGAGTCTTTAACGTGCACCACACAGAAGTGATAGACGACAAGACGCTCGTACGATGCTCATCCAGATCGAAACAGGCAGGGGTGGGGATTGAACCAAGGATCCCCGAGTTCTGCAGCGCGAGCTTTCGCTCCACGGGCTCCGAGCTGGTGTGCGCTGAGTGTTCCCTAGCACACTCGGCCACCGACCCTTCTTCCTGTGAATGTATAGGGAGTATTCACTGGACGCCATATTTGGGGGTGCTGTTTAGTGCGCATGCTGAGAACAAGCTCACGTCAATAGGCTGCTAAGACCTACACTCTTGATGGTGCGGAATGCACGTTGCAAAAGAACTGTGGAAGCTGACCATCAGCACGTACTCGGCACTCGAGCACACAGCTATGGCCGCCAGTGAATACTCCCTATAGGGAGATCGAGAGAGTAGAAGTAGTAGTAAGGGGTGAGGGTAGCAGAAGCCGGAACATGTTGGCCACTCCTTTGATGGGGGCGAGTTAGTTCCGGGGGAGGGAAGGGGATGAAAGGAGAGATCAGAAAAGAGTTAAAGAATGAGATATAAAAAAAAAAAGAACGGATTGAAATAAATGAAAGCCGCTTACAACTCCCTGTAACGCCGAATTAGAGCGCAGCTCTTGAGGAGGAGGAGGGAAGGGCACACGGGGGGGGGGTTAAACTAACCAGGGGGGGTCACGTTACCTTGGGGGTCACGTGACCCCCAATGCCGATGATGTCATCACTGACGTCACTGATGACGTCATCAGTGACGATGACGATGCGGGTACCGATGACGTCATTAGTGACGTCACTGATGACTTCACCAGTGATGATGACGATGACGATGCGAATGTCGGTGACGTCATCAGTGACGTCGCTGATGACGTCATCAGTGATGATGATGATGACGATGCGGATGCCGGTGACGACATCAGTGACGTCACTGATGACGTCATCAGTGATGATGACGATGACAATGCGGATGTCGGTGACGTCATCAGTGATGATGACGATGACGATGTGGATGCCGGTGACGTCATCAGTGATGATGACGATGACGATGTGGATGCCGGTGACGTCATCAGTGATGATGACGATGACGATGTGGATGCCGGTGACGTCATCAGTGATGATGACGATGATGCGGATGCCGGTGACGTCATCAGTGATGATGACGATGACGATGTGGATGCCGGTGACGTCATCAGTGATGATGACGATGACGATGTGGATGCCGGTGACGTCATCAGTGATGATGACGATGACGATGCGGATGCCGGTGACGTCATCAGTGATGACGATGACGATGTGGATGCCGGTGACGTCATCAGTGATGATGACGATGACGATGTGGATGCCGGTGACGTCATCAGTGATGATGACGATGACGATGTGGATGCCGGTGACGTCATCGGGGGGTCACGCGACATCGGCGGGGGTCACGTGACCTCGAGGAGGGGGCCACGTGACCTCAGGGGAGTCACGTGACTTCGGGGGGTCACGTGACCCCCCACGAGGTCACGTGACCTTGGTGGGGGGCTCGCGCGGTGCATTATGGGACATTTCCCATGATGCACCGCGCGGTTACGCCGACGCCGACGGCGACGGCGACGGCGACGGCGACGGCGACGCCGACGCCGACGGCGACGCCGCTCAAGCCGGAAACGGGCCCCTAAGAGCTGCGCTCTAAAAAAAGAGAGGAGAAAATGGGATGAAAAGGAATCAGAAAAGAGAAGGAAGAATAAATAAAACAAAGGAATGATTGGTCAATAGTTCTTGTTACTGGATTGTTGATGTGTCGCCATCGCCCAGTGTATGTCAGGCACCGGGGTTAGAAGCGGTCAAATAAACTGGTGTCTTTTAAGAACGTGAGAAGTGCGGCGAATGTTCTCGAGACGTCACGTGCACTAGCTGGGGGAAAAAGAATGTCCGAGGTTGTAGCACTTGCTACGCCTGGTTGACGCAGGCCGTCGAGAAACGATTGTCTTTTGTCCAATAGAGTAGGGCAAGTCCAGAGGAGATGGTCCTGGTCCTAGGGAACATCACAAGATGGACAGTTTGGGTTTATTGTTGGGTCCATACGGTGAAGGCCTCTGGCAGTGAAGGCACAACCAGTGCGATGTCAGTGCAGTAAATAAGCGGAGGCTCAAGACAGCTTTGGAGGCACGCGTGCGCGTGGCTTCCCGGTAAAGACGCGCGTTTGTGGATGTAGTTTCTCTATTTCTTTGCGAATACTAAGTCTGGCCTCAAACATATTTGGTATAACAAGTGTTGGTATATTAATGTGGTGAGCTGCACTAGCGAGACAATGGGCTGTCTCATTGCCCGAGATACCCACGTGGGATATCAGCCATTGGTATGCTATATGCCATCCTTTAGACTCTAGGTTTCTTGTCATGTGTCCAATGTATCTGGCATATTGTGGGGCGTCTTCAAGGCTACCGAGAAGTTGTAAAGCTATTCTGGAATCTGTGAGGAACATTGCCTTTCCACTGTGAGGAATACTGTCGAGGATGTCAAGGCCTAGCCAAAGCGCGGCAAGTTCGGCAGTGGTAGATGTAGTGTGAAAGCTCAGTTTCCTGGATTTGGCCATTTTTAGTTCCGGTATAAAAACTGCTGCAGTGGTTGATTTGCGGCTATGAAGTACCGAGCCGTCGGTATATACACGCATTAATCCTAGAATATCCTAGAAGATCTAGCGATAGAATAATGAAGGAAGTGCAGAGATTTACAGCCTTGTATAGGTAGTATTCGAAATTCGCGGCGAGAACAGAGCCGTCTATAGACCTTTCCAATGTTTACAAATCCACAGCTCAGCGTGCGATCTTCACAGCTCAGCACGCGCGTGTGCGTCGCTTCGGAAAGCGAGCAAATCACGCGCGATACGCACGAACACTAAAAATGAAACCGGCCAGCAGCCCTTTTCTGGAAAGGTCTATACTGAGAGAGTTTTGCCTTCTTAAGGAGATTTTGACAGCTTGGCTACCACAGCAGCGACAACCGGGGGGTGACTACTTCCATCCCCCATTTTGTTGTTCTGACTAATAGGATTTCTATGCAATTTCGATGCGAGATCGCATGGGAACGCTATGTGATATATCAGGAATAAGCTAGACAAACAAGTAACGCCATTTTGTGTTATCGCGAAATCCGCTGGTTCTAGCGGGCAACAAGCTCCGCCCAGTGGTCAAACTCTCTCAGTATAAACGGCTCTGGGCAAGAATAGGGTGCCTACATGTCTGTCTGTCTCAGGGTGAAGACATCCATTGTTTTCGTGAATGTGCCAGCGCCTGACGCTCTCGCGCACTCGGTTTGTGACTTGGGCGGTAAAATGGCGCCTATGCATTAGCCAAAGCTACGCGCTCAAGCTGAATAGCACCGGATTGCGCGCACTTCAAATTGTATAAAAAACAACTGGGCGGAAAAATGGCTGGGATGTCACCACTCAAGCAAAAGCACGCGTGTGTATGAAGGCACTCCAGGCACGAAGTTTGAGTCACCGCCTGGTGGAATTGTTTTACAACCCAAAGTAAGGATAATTCATCTTCCTCTGCTGGTACAACCCGTGCAATGTAAAGTTTCTACGCACTATGAAAGTTGAAACTGGTTGAAACATAACCGCGTAGGTAGCACGTTCACTATCCGTGGTGAGGAAAACAGAAGCGTCCCTCGCGAGCTTCTCACAGCGAATACTCGGTTCACCCTTAAGCTGAGACTCAAGCTTGTTGCCAAAGCTACAAGCTCGAGCTAGCCCGCGCTCCTGTCTTTGAGACGTGTCTTCTTAGCGCGAGTGCCCGTTCTACGGAAGTACGCTTCAAAGCAGCTAGCTCCAGCTCTCGTGCTTGTGGCATTGGCTGTAGTCTCAGCTTAAAGGAGCGATGCAACAATTTTTGTACTGTGCACAAATACCGCTTAAATCGGATCCCTAACGTTAATGACCTAGGAAAGACGCGTTCGTTTTTCACCCCACGCAATAGAAGTCCCAGAAAAAAATTTAAGAAAAACGAGCGGCGTTCACCCCCTCAACTCGCAGCCAGAACAAGCGGCCACGTGATCTGGAGCCGATTATATGCCGCCAGTGTTGATCATAGCCACGCGCAGGGGTTGGCAAAGCGCAGGACACGCGCTGAGTTCCAGACATTGTTATGGCTCGGCTGTTGTCGTCGTTGCAGCGATTGGACACGGGTCACAACCCGAATGCTTCTCGAGCTAGCAATTGTCACGAGCCCAAGTCGAGTGCCCACGCAATGCTCGGGTCCAATCTGTGAACCGCATTCAAATATCGTCACTTGGGTGTACTGCGATCCCCGAGTTACGCCATCAAATTTTGCAAAGGAGAGATTGAATGAAAATGATCGCTTTTGTCCTTGAAATTACACCACAACAAAGGAGTTTCTTGGCCAATGGTGTTGCGTGTGAGTATCCTTGAGTCCGAGGTGTGCCAGTAAGCTAGTGTAGAGAGAAAAACATTCCAATTGAATATCGTTGCACAGCTCCTTTAAGGGTGAACGGAGCATAGCGGCCATAGCGCGACTGCTGAGCGCAAGCTGATGGCAAGCCTCCACAGTTCTTTTGCAACGTGCATACCACACCATGGAGACTGCCGGTTTTAGCAGCCAATAATGTGAGCTGATTCTGAGCATGCACTCAAAACTGCGTTCAGTGAATACCCTCTATGCAACACGTTCACGGGTGTCCCTGTTCATGTTACGCGACATAGTTAACTTCGATGCTACATTTAGAAAGAAAACAAAAACACTTTCCACTCATTTAGCAGGAAAACATTCTTGCTACATTTAGCGGGAGAGGGATGTACACGCCGTCCGCGGGACATTCTTATATAGGACTGGGAGTGTACAGAGACATGGAGCTGGAAGCGGAGGTATGGCGATCGCTCGCTGTAGCTTCTCCCCGCAGCCCAACACAGTCCCACGCTTCCTGCTTCTGTGTCACCATCATCATGGTGACACAGGGTGATGTCACTCTCATCATGGTGACACAGGGTGATGTCACCATCATCATGGTGACACAGGGTGATGTCACCATCATCATGGTGACATCACCCAAAATTAGCGGTTGTACCGTACCGGCTAAATTGTTCATCCACAGCTGGGTCACCAGACGCCATTTGAGGCAGACCAACTTCCGGCTGTATAAACGTTCACCACAATTTGCTTTGTTTTACCCCAAGCTTAAGATGGCACTGCGCTGAATATTTCTTTTAAACTACAGTGCGTAAAACTGACGTCGTACGCCATGGACATACTAAAATATCGCTTGGGTTTGGGCTAGTTGATTTTTCATTATATTTTAGTTAGTTTTGCCTTTCGTGTGTGACTGTCGTCCTTCTACGTGCCAGAATGTAAACATTGGCACCGCAGAACAAAAAATAATTAATTAACGCTTTCTAAACTAACGTTCAATTATACTTTGTCTGCGATGTTACCACTGATCCGTCGTGGTATACATCTTTGTTCAGAATAGACCCTTTCCGAAATTCAGTCTGTCCACCTTGATCACTATCATCATCAGAAGAACGGCATCTGTGCCATATCAATGGCGGCCTTCTAGTGACTGATAAAAGAAGACGTTGAAGATGCTCCTAAGCGGATCTTGCGAGGCCGGGGGGGCTATGTTGCGCTTTTTGCACTCCCAGGAGACTAGGGAGAGGGAAGTGACGTCAACGACACAGCAAACGCAGATTGGGTGTTGATTTCGTTTCCTTCTGTCAACATCCAATCTGCGTTTGCTGTGTCGTTGACGTCACTTCCCTCTTCCAAGTCTCCTGGGAGTGCAAAAAGCGCAACATAGCACCCCTGTACATTCGGGGGGTCGCTACGAAGCGACGTAAGAATGGAACACAAGAGCTACGTAAGCGTTTATTTCTAATAACTCGGATTCTGTCAATCTGTGTGCGGCACACAATCTGCTTTAAAGCACTTTGGTGTATAGAATTTTCTCGAGGCATCTGACTGGGTTGGAGCTTTGTTCTGAATGCAGGTTTTTGGTCACCGTCTAACTGAAAGTGATCGAGAAAGAACTCACTGAACGATTCCTCGCGTGCTGTTGACTTGCGAAAGTGACGGTGCCGATACAAGTTCATTTCCGCCATTGATATGGCAAAACCTAAACTGCTTTACGAACCACCAGATGGCACTGAATTTCGGAAAGGGTCTATTGCCCCCGAACAAAAACCCTCCGTCTGCGTTAACATTTGATGCCATGAGGCCTTAACACAACGATATTATGTCAAATATGTCGCATAGATTTCTGGATGTCCTTGTGCTCTGCCTGAAATAAAAATAAACACACGTTTGGATACTTGCCGGAATAAACACTTGTTTGTGGTGGTTTAAGCTTCAACAGTATTATTGGTATTCGACAGGCGTATGGTTTCTAATGCCGTGTCAAATCTTGCCGCAATACGCACATGCACTGTTTCAAGCCCATCCACAGGTCATTAGAAAAAGTAATAAACAACTATGCTAGTATAAACGTGTTGCAAGTTCACTGCATGTATTCCTAAAACAATCGCTTGAGTAAAATTGTTTATTGACATATTGTTAAACGTTACTTGTTTTATCAACTGTTTTTTTTTTCTTTTATAGGTATGCATAAAGGGACAGTGCGTCAACACATGCCAAATGACCTTCGTATAAATCATGCTTGAAAGGGCGGATATAACCAATCTACGAACTGAAAACACGTGTCTTTAACGACAATCCCGAATATCGATAAATATTAAATAATCCTTGTAATCGAGATGTGCAGTATTACGTTTCCACAATCACTTACACAGATCTGAAATAAACAGTTAAGGCATAAACGACTGCTTGGTCTTTTTATTTCGTCCCGCTGAAGGGCTACAATTCGCTTGCCATACCCTGTATGGCAACTGCGACATACCATACCCTGCATGGGTGCAGCTCCGTGGGATTCAGTGACCACGTCCATTCACTCAAACCTTTTCAAGCGAGAATACGTTATATGGCTGACTGGTAACCACTTCCTGTAACAAACTTGTAAAATAGAGACTTTTTGCTAACCGTTACCGTGTTCTGCGTACCGCACTACCAGAGTTTTTGAAGCATGCTCTTAAAGGGGCCATGAAACGAATTTTGGGTTGGGATGAATGATTTTAAATTGGGACTTTACTAATCGCATATCGTTTAGTTGGCCAAAAGGGAGAAACTAGAAAGTCAAAAGCCAGCTTTTCGGTACGAACATTTGAAAATATAGCGGACTATTTTGTACCTTCTTGCCTTCGAAAGCTCTCCGCCTTTTCACTATGATACATCCGCGGTTCCAAAAGCACGTCACCGGCGCCAAACTGACGTCAGCAGAGCCCAGCTCACTCATTGGACACGAGAACTGCGTCACTCGGACGTATGCGCTCGTCAACAATCAGTCCATCGACGAATATTTGGATTCGCGTTCGTGGCCAATGAGTGGCCTGGCGGAACTTATTGTCACATGGGGAATGACAAGTTCTATGGTGTGCATAAAAAGCACGGTGGAACCTAGGAGTCATCGCACCGGTGCCGAAGAATGTCACGACCACGTGATTTCACGATTCCCATTTGAGTTGAGGATTAAAGCTAAGGGGGAAGAAGTAGGAAAATCGTTTCGTGACTCTTTTAAGCGCGCTTCTGCGGTCACGGTATCACTTGGGCGCGCGCTTAAAAGCATGCTTCAATAGAGACTTTTAGCAAACCGTTACTATACTACCGGAGCTGTACTATCTATACCATGGGTCCCACTGCGCATGCGCGATTCGTACCGGCGTCACGTGCCTGAAATGCTGTACCGCGGTCGCCTTACCGTGATACGTTTATGGGTTAAAAGCGCTAAAAACGACGGACGAGTAGGAGAGACACACACCACAGAGCGCTACTTGCAACTGGTTTATTATTGGAAAAACTACACGTACCGCGAAACCAACAAGACAATATCCGATTCAGTTCCAACCGTCGCTAATCACACTTCTTACTCTTACACCATGCATGATCGTAAAAACGATAACTCTGATTCAAACAGGGTTATCGATGGGGCACTTACACACGTACCCTCGTCACTCTCGGAAATAAAAAACGCTTCCGTTATCTCCCTTGTCTTTCTATTTTTGTTTCGTGCCAAGATGACGGTGTTGTCTAAATAGGGTAAACACTCACACCTACTGCAATGTACTGCGAGATTGCCAGAGGGGGCTGACCTCAATGACAGGGCATGTTCCCTCAGTCTTTCGTTCACGCATCGCCCCGACTGCCCCACGTATACCCTCCCACAAGACAGAGGAATTCTGTACACTACCCCCACTCTGCATCTATACGCCTCGCAAGTGGGCTCATTTTCGTCTTCTGCGCATGAGAAAGGAAGTAGCGGTGACGTCAGAACGCCGAGTCTTGATTGGCTGATCGCGACCCCCTATTGAGCGTCGTCTGCTCCTTTGCAACGTCGTCTGCTCGCAACATCGTCTGCGTCTGTCTTACCTTTCCTGCGACTTTCGGAGCGAACTCGACTTGGCCTTTAAGGGAGGGCAGACGAAATAACTCGAGCGGTACGTTGTTTTCGTCTAACAACTAGCAGACGCGCATCAAGGAGGGAAGTCAAAGGACCCACTGGCGAGGTGTCCCGGGGCGCCGAGGTTTGTTTGCTGAGTGTCCGCAAGTTCTCTCCCAAATACTTTTTACCTCCATTCGTGTGCGGCGAGACCCCTCACTTTTTAACGGCGCCGGCGGGTTGGCGCAGTTAACGTCGTCTGCTTTACGTCTGCTAGTCAAAGCGATGGCTGCTTTACCTTTCCTGCGTCTGTCGGAGATTCGCCGCTTTTTCACCGGCGAGAGTCACCGTTGCCTCGGGAAACAAGGAGATAACAAGAGGAAGAAATTGACCTCTTAATCTAAAATTGAGGTCAGCGATCAAAGTATAACACGGGAAGGGTTCACAAGGGTCGCGCGGGCATATTCCATTCAGCACGTCAGCCGGTCGTGGGCAGACGGTCGCCGAGTCGTGGAGTGCCTCCTACACTGTTAGCAAGTCCCGTGTATTTGGCGAATATTTGGGGTGAAAAACACGCTATTTACACAAATTACCATAAATTTACACGATGAGTAACGGATAATTCGTTCAGAAATCATGCGAGGTTGTAAAAAACGTGTTTTGGTTCGGTCATACACGCATAACCGTGTAGCCGACCTCGAAAACACGCATCGCCCCCGGCGACGACCGCGGCATTGCCGGCTATCGAAGCACCGCAGTGCTTGGGGATCACACTTAGAAAGGACCGTCGAGACAAATGCCGCGGAAAGAAACATGTCTCGGAGACAGATATGCACCAAAAGCAATTGCGCCATGTCGCAGGACGTTGGCGAAACCCGCGCTTACCGTGCTCGCCGCCATCTTCTGGTCGATGGCAATGCGGCTTCCCTCATGTCGCCCATGTTTGTATTTAGTTTAGGGGTCCTGATAACAGTTTCTTAGACACCACAAATAAAGTCATGGTCTAATTATTCGTTCCAAACAGTTAAAATGGATATAAAAAGCGTGTCCTCGATGTGAACACGTGACATTGCAGTTGGTTTCGTTTTTGCTTCAACCTTCAACTGCAAGCGATCTGGCCACGGCGCAAGCGCGACGCCGATGTACGCTGGAAGCAAGCGCTGGTTGACTTTCGTTGTTTTTGTTTGACCGGAGAAAATCTGGCAAGTGCGCATGGCGCCGCTACTGTTTTGGTTTGACGGGACGCGAGAAGCTTCGCATAGAGCTTCGGAGTTTGCGAGCACATAGGGAAGACGTGACCGGAGAAGTGCCCCTGTGATGTTCCTGGAAGACGGAAAGTAGCATTCGTAATCGTCGTGTGTGCTTTGAAAGCGAAGGGAGTCACAGGGTCCACGAGTTCGCAACCACAAGCCAAGGTTCACGACAGCGCGGCGTTGACTTCGGCGATCTCGTTCTGTTTGGTGCAACCCGGCGATGCGAAAAAGAGCTGAAACATTCGTCGTGTGTGGTGCGGTGCTTTGTATTCCGGGTCTGTTTGAACCACGCTTTTAACATGGAGCGCAAATTGTTTGTTGCGTGGTGGAGGTTCAACGGGTACAGTCCCGTCGTCGTCAGCTGATCCGGTCCAGCTGGTCCGGGAGGACGCAGCGAGCGTTTTTAAAAGTAAATCTTCCTTCGTTCCGTTTCAAACTGTGGAAGTATCCCGACACATACCGTGAGTAAGAAGCAGCGGGCGTTTTCAACAAAATTACGTTGTTTTAATTGAATAATGGACTCCGGATTGTTGTCTTAAATCTGCCGTTTTTTATGCTTCGTGTTGGACTGCGTTTGCATAGCGACGTACACCGCTCGAGTAGATGATTCGGTCCTGCAACGAGTTTGTTGCACCAATCATGCGGCGTGAATAAATTAGGGCAAGGTTTCCTACCTGCCCACAGATACATGTACTGAGACCATTTTTTATATTGTGAACGTAGTGCTCTTTCTTTATTTTGGAAGACGCGTTGGTGCATTTATTATGGTACAATCACTTGAGAGTTGAGAAATTGGAGAGCGAGCAAGCTTTCCCAACTTTGTCTCTTTCTCTCTGGCACTGCCCTGTTTCAGTTTCAGTAGGCATATCTACTAGCAGGTACAAACTGCTCTAAAGCAGGTAAAAAATGGGAAGCTTAGGACGGTGCGGACTCCGTGTTTCGCGCTTTTCGCAAGGTGACAGGGTAAATGCTTTTGTGAGATAGGCGGAATATGCAAGCGATTTTGTTATGCCCGTCGTTTGCGTCTCTCCAGCAAAACGAATAAGATGATCTACTACAAAGGCGCAATCACAAGCCAAGATTTAAGATAGCAGTCGTTTGCTTCGGTGATCCGTGTAACTGTATTTTACCCTGCTCTCTGCAACACCGTGTCATGACGAAGAGCTGGAACGGTCACGGTTTGTGCTGGCCTCCCGGTTGACAGAAACCCGCGTCGCCCGCATCGGCACCGAGTGCGCTTGGGTTGTTGATGCTCAAGCCTTTCATCCGTGGCTTGTCGCCAGCTCATCCTGCTGCTCAACGGTGAGGAAGCGGCGAGAGTAACCTCGGAACTGAATGTAAATCCTTGTTCATTCAGTTATCCGGTGTCAAAGTGTGGAAGATGTCCAACGTGTACTGAGGGCGGGAACTACGAGCGTTTTGCCTTGCTTTTATAACCGAAACCAGACTAACGAGATAACTGCCGTGCGTACTCTAAAATGACGGAAACAATAAGTTTCAACAGGTCGAGTACGTCACCGGGGATGTAGGCGAGACGGTGCACACTGTTTAAACGCTTGCAGTATCCACGAGTGGTACCAGGAAAGCGACGTCAACAGAGAAGGAGCTCGCGATTCAGCATAATGCATTGCAATGGGCCCGTGTATCTTCAAAGTTCGGGGTGGTGGCAGTATAAAAAAAAAAGACGCATCAGCGCCCCACACCAGTGTTCACGAATAACACCGGTCACAAACTCCCAAGCCCCACCGCTCTTCTCGACACCGACACGACATACGACAACAAACTGCATCAAAACGCCCCAAAAGTGAAGGCGTCTGCTCCCGTACTGCACTGCTGCAACTAGCGGAAGTGAAGTGTTGGGCGGATGTCCGGATGTCCTTCACAAAAATATATAAAAAATGCTTTGC